TATATTCAGGCTTTGATGTTCTGGTTATGATGTTCTGGTTATGCTTTGGTTATGAGGTTCTGGTTGTATTAAGGTTATGATGTTCTGGTTATATTTACACTTTAATATTCTGGTTATATTCAGGCTATAAGGTTCTGGTTATATTCAGGTTATGTTCTTGTTATATTCAGCCTATGGTGTTTATGGTCTTGTTATATTCAAGCTATAATGTTCTGGTAATATTTAGGTTATGATATTCTGGTTATATTCAGGCTATAAGGCTCTGGTTATATTCAGGTTATGTTCTTGTTATATTTAGGCTATGATGTTCTTGTTATGATGTACTGGTTATGCTTTGATTATGATGTTCTGGTTATATTAAGGTTATGATGTTCTGGTTAAAATCACACTTTGATATTCTGGTTATGTTCTGGTTAAATCAGGCTATAAGGTTCTGGTTTTGTTCTGGTTATATTCAAGCTATGATGTTCTAGACATGTTCTGGTTATGTTCTAGCTATGAACATGCTGTAAACAGTATTTAACATCAGCCGTCTGTGGGTTATTTACACATTTATCTCCATTATCACACAGTTCTCCTTCAGTAGAGCCAGATCTGTGCTTTTCTCAGCTGCTACATGAATGTTATTGAGTGTTAAAAGTTGTGAAGAAAGATCGATATAATCACAGCTGTGGAGCTCAGATGCACTGTAATTCACTTTAGTCCTGTGTGGGGAATGTTTTGTTAGCTGTATAATCTTAACACTGAGAGCATTTGCTGTTTCTCACACTGTATTGTAATGTAATGCCGTTTTTTGTTGTTTTGGCAATCAATAATTCTCTCAAAGAATCCATAAATGTAGTCAGAAGAAAGCTGGAGTATCAGAATCACAGCATTAGTGCGTGCATTTCAGAGATCTACTGCCATGTCTCAAGGGTTTAAGTGGAGGATTGTACAGAAATGTGTTAGAAATAGAATTCAGTCAAATTATTGATTTTCTTTTTGGAACCTACGAAATGAAGAGCGATGAAGAGCGTTTACACTAACGCTGCTGTCTGGAATGAAAACTTTACCATTTTAAATATAAACTTTAAAAATAAAACTGCACCACAAACAAGTTAGTATTCAGTTTAAAGTGCAGTTTAAAGGCTTAACTAGGCTCGGTTAATCAGGCAAGTCACTAAACATCGCCACAGCCATATCACTGAAGCTAAGCAGGCCTGAGCCTGGCCAGAACCTGGATGGGCTCATGGCTGCCGCCGCACTGATGATAAAACACACACACATGCATATCATTCTTTCAGGGCGGCTCTCAAACGATCCCTCTGTGCAACAAACTGAACGTCATTTACAACTTTATTACCTGTTATTCACAGCATATGCAGGTTCTGTTCACTAAAGTAGCCGTCATTGGCGCGCGTTCTCGGTAGCTCGTGGTCAGTTCAAATGTGATTTCGCAGCCACAAATAAATCATTACATGAAGACTGAAATGACATTCCTGAGTGAATTATACCTTATAAATGCAGCATGTGACACTTTTAACGCCATTTGAAGGTGTCCGTGTTGCTGTGAAGATTTGTGCGACTGCCTTTAAGCTTCCGTCCTGACATTGGAAATATCATTGGCTGAATTGTAGAAAAGCTGAATGAAGATCGTGTGTCGGGTCCAATCGAGATCATGATCATTTTTCGATTAATCGTGCAGCTCTACTTGATATAGTATAGTTGTATTATGGCAACATTATTGCAACACTCAACAACATCCACATAGTTTCTTTCTATGTTATCCTTGATTGTAATATCATTTATTTTCCCAGAATGGTGCAGTCCTGATTTCCATGATATCCCAGGATTGAGTGCATCTCCAGGCTGTGTTTGTGTGGCTCTGCTGAATGTTTTATGTTATTTCAGTAACCGCTGACCTTCTCCTCAGGATCTGATGTGCTTTGAGACTCATAATGCTGCTCCACCTGTGTAGTGTAAAGGTCAGTGCTTTTCCCCGTCAGATCCTCCGTCGTCTTCATCTTCATCAGCAGTGTTTGCTTTTCATCAACACCTGAACTCCTTTATTCCACCTTTAATCTACACTGTAACAAATATCTGTTCATTTCTTTCCATATTTTGTCATTCTGTCTGGGTGTAATGGATAACGGTTGATCCGTGATTCATACGGATCACAAACCACAGTTCGGGACACACTACTTTTGTTTTTACTTTACTAAATTTGTAACGATCTCCAGGAGATCGCCTCTCACATCATTCAAATCACTCAAATCATCATTCAGACTATCTCTTTAAGACACAAACAGCTGCATTAAAACACACCAGGGCACTTAAACTCATTGAAATCAAGTTATTTAGGCTCAGATTAAGGCTGTTTTTCCAGCAGTAATAGAGAATCTCCTATAGGAAACAGCGGATCTGCTGTAAGACTTTGTCATTTTTGAAGACTTTGTCATCTTTGTCATTTTGATTCTCTCTGCGTTTCTCCCAGAGGCGCTGCTATTTCCAGATCTGTGTGTTTATCAGGCTTTCAGAGAGATGTTCAGTGTTTCCTTGTGTTTCTCCTCTACTGATTAAACACAATCCTTCAGGGCTGAACAGGCAGTATTGCCCTGCACGTACAGAGCATCTCTGTGATTCTCTCAATGGAAATACTACAGCCTACATTTTTAAATTTTACATGTAAATTACATTTCTCCGCGTGCTGTTTGTTGTATGTTTTGATGTCAAATCCACTAGAGGGCGCAATTTATATTTTTCAAATCTAAAATATGTTAATTATGATACATTACCATGTACGTTTAGGATTTCAGATCCACTAGAGGGCGCTGCCAACATTTTTCAAGTCAAAAATACATTCCTTAAGAGTACATTTTTGCATGTTTCAGATGACAGATCCACTAGAGGGCGCTGTCTACATTGTTGTCAACCTGAAATACAAAAATCATAGTTTTTGTTGTAAATTTCACTTGAGAAATCCACTAGAAGAAGCTGTCTACATTTTTAAAAATAAAAAATACGTTACTTACCATGAGTTTTTTGCATGTTTCAGATGACAGATCCACTAGAGGGCGCTGTCTACATTGTTATCAATCTGAAATACGTTATTTATTTGTACCTTTCGAGATTTCAAATTGACTAGAAGGTGCTGTCTACATTTTTACTAAATGAAAGCAATCTTTTACTTGTCAATAATATATCCCTAAAAACATTATTAGTGTAAAACTGAACAAAAGTTGTTGTCATCATGCTGCCCCCTAGTGTTAATTGCACCTAGAAGCAGCAGTTAAAAGTGTATTGAAGCGCATTTCACTTTTCAGTTTCACTTTTATTTTGTTTTTACATTTTTTTGGTTTCCCAAAACTGTATGCTGAAGCTTGTGTTTCCAATCGGCCTGTGTTTAAAATGGCAAGCGAACTGACATGGACCATCAGAACTCATGATATAACCAGGATATATTGTGTTGTGCATGCATCACTCTTCAGTCTTCATGCTTCTCATGGTTTTGTGTCCAAATCTGTATAAAAACATCTCATTAATGTGCATCAAAATCAATGTTAAAGCTTCCCTGTAGATTGATGACTGGATAACAAACTGTTCTCGTCTTATTAGGGCCAGTTATATCCTGTTATGAGACACTAATTGGTTTTGATGCAGCGTGTTCATCTCCATTCAGATCTCTGCATGATCTTTCACTTTTATTTTCTGGAAAATGTCAAACGTTCAGACCAAAACTCATGTATCTCTTCATGTATTCACAGTCAATGCCAATATATAAGCCAATATCTGGCTTATTTTTGTGTATATAGCTGGTTTAGAGTTCCAGAGTTATTTTTTATTATTGATTTACCTTTTTTTATTATTATTTAATAGATTATTAAGCTAATTATTGTTATTATTATCGTTATTTTAATGAACTGCTTAGATAAACAAATATATCAAAAAGAAAATGTAATAAAATACATTATTTATTGAAACACAATGTTTATTTATTTAAATTTAAAATCACAGAAATTATAGCATTAGCACTTTTTTGTTTAATTCAGTTTAATTTACATGATGAATCCACTAGATGGCACTGTATAAATGTTTGTGTATCTGACACATTACCAAGGGTACATTTCATTGTATGTTTCAGATGACAAATCCACTAGAGGGCGATGTTTACATGCGTGCGAATCTGAAATACATTACTTAGTCTATATTTTATTGTACATTTTGAATGTCAAATCCACTAGAGGGCGCTGTTTACATGTGTCAAATTTGAAATACGTTACTTAGGATACATTTCATTGTACATTTCAGATGACATACCCACTAGAGGGCGCTGTTTACATGTTTCCGAATTTGAAATACGTTACTTAAGGTGCATTTTATTGTACATTTCAGATAACAAATCCACTAGAGGGCGCTGTCTATAACATTGCGAGTATGAAATACGTTACTAAGGGTTCATTTCATTGTACGTTTCAGATGACAAATCCACTAGAGGGTGCTTTCGGGGGGATGGGTAGGGAGGGTAATAAAGAAACAAGCCCACTGTTTTCTCATTTAAAGTCCGCATGAACCGGAAGCTGTGACCATTTTTATTATGTTTTTTTTTGTATTGTAACCCAGTTCCTAGAGAAACAGAATATTAAATGAGAAAGTAAGTGTGTCGTTCAGAAAGATGGGGGAAAGGGTTTGGAGAGAGTTATTATAACCTAACAGAATCTTCCTACTCACCCACCATTTCGGTTTGTTGTCAAAACTGACAGCTGGAAGGGGCGTGGTTAAGTATGTTAGTCACGCCCAACACCTTAGACAGACCTAATCTAAGAATTAAACTGAAAACAAACAGGAAGTGCGTTTTCAGATTTCAATTACAAAAGATTACAAGGGCAAACCATTTTTTTTTCATAATGACATACGCAGATGAATTGTTCAGCACAAAACTAGCAGTGTGAGCTAGCTAAATCAATATGCTTAGTTTTGATTTGTACTTTAAAGATGCCAATGTTGTGTGTGTTTGTGTGCAG